TAACTGCACTTTGCAGTATCTCTCTTCAAGTGATAAGTACAACTAATAACATTTATAACATTCATCTTAAATTTAGAAGTGGAAATTAAAGATTAGGAATATATTTCCTTGAGGTACTGCTTGTAGGAAATTACTGGATGTGGTCAAAAGCTAATAGGAATATGAAACTGCCATCACCTGTGACTCTCTGTTTAAGTGACACAGGTTAAAGAACGTGCTGAACTTTTTTAAGTCATGGCACACATAGAAAATGATGGTATCTGTACACATACTGGTTAAAAATGCCAAGAGACTGCTCTCAGCTGGACCCCCAAAGGCTGAAGAGACCAATATTTTGTTCACAACTGATGGGACCTGTGAACTGAAGGGTCAAATTTATGAAAGTCCTAACGGGGAAAATGCTGACAAGCACTAAAACCACCATAAATTCCTTAGAGAGTTCTTAAAATCCAGAACTAAGATCACAAAAATTACTGTGGTCTTTTACATGTCAATATTCAGGAAAGAGGTGTTCTCTCTTATTTAACATTCTTTCCGGAGTATGAGACATTGGTCAAGGAAAACAATGATCCCTATGTCTTAATAAGTCAAACGAACATGGCAGGGTCAAGTTGACCTCCCTGGCCACGCAGGGCCAAAGCCATACAGCTGAACAGTATGTGCTTTAACCCCGTAGGACAACTCTCAGACGCCTGGCGCACTATTTTTAGGTTACTACTTTGGCTGCCTTTTTTTTTTTTTTTTACAAAAAAAAAAAAAAAAAAAAAAAAAAAAAAAAAAAAAAAAAAAAAAAAAAAAAAAAAAAAAAAAAAAAAAAACTTTTTCCACAAGTTTCTCTTCCCCAAGTTGGAGAAACCATGTTTTAAACTTTGTGTTATTTCAAATCACAAATTCAGAGACTTGTAAACATAAAGCTTCTGTTAAATCCTCTGGGAAGAAGATTCATTCTGATATTTATGGTTCAAAAAAAGTTGTAATACTGTGCTTGGAACACAGAGAACCAGTTATTAACTTCTTGCTACTATTTTAAATAATAACAGCTCAGCCCAGGTTACTGTGACCTCTGACAGATCAAGGAAACAAGTTATTTTCTCCTCTTGTGATTACAGCATATTGCAAGACACTTTTTGCCTTTTAATAAATGTCCTGGTACTGAGTTTCCCTTTCATTTAATTTCAACAACGTATCAAAAAAAGCCAATATACAAATACTGAATTACATTCTGTTGGGTTTTTTTAAACCCTCAAACTCCAGACTGCAAAAATATCTTGTGTGTCTCCCACCCTGACCACCCTGCTACTTTTCCATAAACCACAGGCCACCCATAGATACAAAGCCAGGGGGTAAAGCTGCCATGGTCTACTTGGAGCCAGTAGACAGGAGGGCGATGAGTCCTGAGGAAGCACTTATGGACAAAATGTAGTTCCTGTAGGAATTTAATGTTAAGGAAAAATTAAGAACCCAAAATTAGTTTTTCAATAAAATAAAGCCCATCCCTTTGGAATGTACTGTTTCTTTCCTGATACTTGGTATAATCATGATGATATGAAGCCCCATTGAATGCAAACACAATTTGCAAGACAGAAGACCATAAAAAATGAAAAACATTCACAGGAAATGTGTTCCAGTTTTAAAAAGAAAACACTTGAGACAGAAACCTAGAACACATGATCATGAAGAACATATGTGAATTCCATTTAACTTTCATGAGAGACGAGCTGATCAAAGAACATGGGGAGGAAAGAGAGACTTGTTTTCCTTCTCCTCCCTCTCCCCCTAGAACAAAGGAAAAATTAATCTCCCCTGTCATGCAGTTTTGCTGCAGTTGGCTTGTAACAGCAAGGAGATTCTGAAAGCTTGCAGCTACTTCCAGCATCGCAACTATGCCACTTTCAGCAAACCTCTCCTGTATTTCCAGAAGATACGAGTTGGAGGGTGTCTGATATTTTATTACATCATAATCTCCAATTGTTAAAAGTTTGGCTGCACATACCTGGATAATACCTTTAATAAATTACCTTAATTAGAGAAGACTCATTCTTACTCAAAAGCTCAATTTCAAAGTAGCCTGAAACACTGTTAAGGTCCCATGGTACCGGTTTAATTGCATTGGCCATCTACCCAACTCCAAAGCCCCAAAAATAATAGCAGAAACAGGGGCATATTCCAAAAGCTATCAAAGAAGGCAAGCTTGCTTTGGATCTTTGGAACTTTAAGTAGGCAAGTATACATAATCACATATATAAGACTGCTCTGTAATACTTGCTATTTGTTATAAGTCACAATGCATAAACTTTAAAGAACTTTAAATCACACCAAAAGCTGTTATTTTAAATATCCAGAAACTTGCCTAAAGTCAGTGCTATTTAATAAACTGACTCCCAGTGCCATTTTTCTTTCTACTAAAGTACCCAGAGACAAGTCGAAACCAAAACCAACTACTGTTTCTAGACTTCTAAAAAACATCATCAACCTTTAAAAGGATACACCGTGGGGTTGAAGTTCTTCAATATGAAGAAGGAAGCAACAATGACCAAGACCAGGAACAGAGTGTTGTTATAGAAGATGGAAAATGTTGTAGCTTCATAGTCAGCAACTTCATTTTTCTTCCACAAGATTCTGGAGACAAGGAAACAAGTCAAACAAGTTTATAAATATGATTAAAAACTCTAAATACCACGCGGCTCTATTTCATTATAAGACAAATTTTTCCTTAAGTGTTCTAGGGTGAGAATGTGTTTTTAACATTAAATTTAGTCAGAATTTTCCCCTTTCCTCCACTGAAAAAAATATTTCACACTCATTATTGCTGAAGAAAACAGTCGCTGGTTATGTTATCATTTTTCCCAGGCAGCCAGGGCTATGGAGGAAGGGACTGATTAATTGCAGTTGGCATGGTTTCATCAGCAGCTCAAACAAGTTATCTTTCTCTGGACCTCATCTCTCTCATCTAAAACACAAACCTGATGGTCAACAGCCTGATGGGGCTTCCGTGGCTATACCCTGGGCTTGAGGCTCTCTGCAGCCTTCAGGCCCATCGCACCTTCAGCACACAATCCCTACTACAAGCACCAGCTGTGGTCTCACAGAAGCAGACTACTGTCAGTCATTTTTGTTTACTTCAAACAAAGAATGTGCTTGATCATTAGGAAGATTTCTTTCTAACATTTGCAAAATGCTTTTACTTTTTATTTATTTTTACTGGTTTTGATATTTTATCTTATTAATTTACTAATACTTCATGAATCTTTTCTTTTACGCCCTTCACACAGGCAAAGGGAAGTTCCAGGGTGCCTGTGAATAGGGATCCTTTATTCCTCCTGGTTAATTAACTTTGTAAAGTAGTTTTTGAAAGGGTAGGTTATGAGCCATTAGTGGGATGTGAACTCAATCGAGTGGATCGAATGCCCAGTGAAATTAACTGAGTGGGTTGAGACCAGCATTTTTTTCAAATGGAATAGGAAGGAACAGAAAAACATCAAGAGTATATTGCACACAGTAGGATAAATACTGTTTTGTGAAACATTTTCATGGGTGCATGTATATTTGGTCAAAAGATAAAATACGTTTTTTACTGTGGGTCATTATCAAAAAGGTTGAAAGCCACTATTGTAGAGACTTTGTCCCCAAAAAAGATAACTCTACTCAAGAGCCAGATGACACTCCTCCTCAATCCTAAGGACAATATTATGACTAACGTTATTGGCGACTGACACATTTTATTCACCAAGTGTTCTAATCCAAAGTCAACAAGCTTGGCTGTAAAAGAGCTAAATAAGCTGTAATAAGCAATTTGAATTTGGGTAACTATGATACGCATCCCAGTTTAAGAAACTGTTCTAATAAATATAATTCAATAAAAAGTTTTTTTAAAGTAAGACAGATTCTCTAACCTATCCCTGTGCAAAAATATGCATCAGAAAGTTATGCAGCCAGACTTCATTAAAGTTGTTCCCTGCAAAAAAATCCTTTATTGTCATAATTTTAATACTGTGCCTTCAGTTTCATAAAGGATCCATAGGAGATAATCATTTCAATGTTCTAGTGCCTTTCCAAAACCACTGCAGAAGACATTGTTCATTAAGTTACTCAGTGTCCCTTAAATAAGGATCTACTTGATAAAGTCTTTCCAAGATTCTGTGTCAGGAAAGTTTCTTTTCAGAAGGACTTGCACGCTGCTTCTCTTCAGACAATGAAAGCTACGTGATCTCAGATGCTTCCCCTGGCACTTGGAAGCTCAGAACTATGTTTGGGGTTCAAATGCTGTAACTAACTCTAAAGTCCTTGTTCATCCACCTTTTCTTCTTTTTAAATGGTTTCTGGTCTTTTAAAATTGTTTGTTTTATATGCACTTTGAGAAAATTGTATTAAATATAATAAATATATTATATATATATTATATGTACTTTAATATTTATAAGTTCCCAAAAGTCTTTCTGGAGCAAAGTGGGGTAAAAACTCTGTTCCACAAAGCACCTCGTTGATACTAAAACTAAAGATCCATGAAAATCACCGGACTCTTGACTCTCTCAAACTATCTGGCAACTCTGCAGCACAAGTTTACTCAATCGTTCAGGGACTTCTGCTACTCAGATATTAGACTGTTTAACAAGCCTTCTAAGAGCAGCGGACAGGAAAAAATGGGAGCAGGGGCTAACAAATGTGGCAGAGAATTGGACAAAAGAAGAGAAACCCAGTTCTTTCCTTTTTCCCCAGCCAACACAGATAACCAAGTACTAGATGTCCCTCAGGAAGCTCAGGAACAGAAATATTACCACCTAGGCAGGCTAACACATAACACACTATAAAACCTTTCAGACCCAGAGGGGTTAGGTGATTAACTCAAGGCCCCACAGCTATCAACGGGCAAAGCTAGCACTGGACAAAGCTCTGCTGCCTCCTAAATTCCAGCAGAGCAACTACAGGTATAAGTTCTCAAGGCAGTGTCTGTGTTCTTATCAAGGATCTACCATGTATTAATCTAGGACCTTGGGCAAGTTACCCAGGCTTTCTGTATCTCAGTTTCCTCCAGTGTAAAATGGAGATAACAGTACCTACCTCTTAGGGCCCTTTAGAGGAATACATCAAATATTGTTTACCACAGAGAGAAGTATCTGGTAGTAATAAAAACTCCCAAAGTCAGCTATTACCATTCCTACTACTACAACTTCTACAATTTCAAAATTTACCTGAAATAATTCCAATATCCACATTCTCTAATCAGAAATCAAAAACTTACTTTCTCCAAAGTATCCCCTTTTTTGATTTCAAACACTTTAAATAAGGAGTCAAACCTTTCATCTTTTTCCTTCCGAGACATCTTTCTATTATCAGCTTCAGAAAGTTTTCGAGTCACTTCTTTGGAAACAGCATCCTCCCTCTTCTGTGCTACTCTGGAACGAAAAGAAAAAAAGAAAAAAAGTTTCCATGTGCTATAAGTGAACATCACACTTTCTCAGAAACACTCTGTACTCCTATTTTGTATTAGCAACTGAATATAAGAAAATAAGCTGGACAGAAAGTTCCAACTTTATTACTGCACTAGCCAAAAAAGAAGTTGTTCAAGAAACTTCCAAGATGTGGTTTATAAGTTATGTGTTTTTATTTCTGCTTAAAAGGAGAATTTTCCAAAGTTTAGGGATTTAACACAGATATAAAAGTCAAATGCTATTAGTGAAATTTAGTTATGAATAGCTCCATTTTGTTTTACCCTATAATTTAACTATTCAACAAATAAATTTCTAAAGGCATTAGTAAATGATATGACTTCAATTCCAAGTAAATAACAGGACAGAAAACTAGTCTTAATAAACAAAGGAAATAATAGCTGAAATATCTTAAAATAATGCTTTTAACTCCATTCCAAAGGACAATTTCACTATAAAGAAATAATATCGCGTGGTCAGGGACTGTCCATTCCACTTTGTTAAATTAACCACTGGTTTGTGGGTTGCACGAAAAATTAGTAATGGAATCACTCAGAAAAGATTCAAAGTGTTACTCAAGAACTCAGACTGAAATATTCAGTGACAGGTCAGATGAAGAAAAAAACTAAATTTATACTCATCGAAAGAATTTATAGATGAATTTTATCAGATATGGTTGCTAGCAAAAGAGGATAAAATTTAAACTATGATGAAACACAAAAAGCTTCCCATACACTATGACACTTAAAGCACCATGGTATATTTTTGATAATATTAGAGAAAATGGTTAGCCATAAATATAAAAAAGTAATAACTGACCACAAGCAAAATTTAACAATTACCTACATAGTCCCATTATGACAGCATTCAACACAATATCCCAACAGGATATGGAATACAGAGATAGAAATCTGTTTACTCCACATGAAAGTAATCGGTTGATTACTTTCGTTACTACGCTGTATGTCGTTCTAGTCAGGGTACCTGAAGAAAACTGTGGAGAAATCAGGATGGATCCCAGCAAAGAAAGCCCAGTATCATTCAAGGTAGTAATTTTCAATCTTTCTTCAACCGCAAGAGTTTCTGGGATACAAGTTAAGCATGAATTGTAGCTGATTTTACCTATGTCTCTATCTCTAGTTCACTCAAGAACTGAGTCAGAATTGACATTGTTAAAATACTACTGTATTTTTTTAAAGGCTTACAAAGTTACTTTTTAACTTTGTTACCCCACACAAAGTGATAAGTGGAGGGAGGAAAACTGGTTGCTCTAAAAAAAAAAAAAGGTAAGAGGAAATAAATTCTGAAACCTAATGAAATGGCAGCTAAGGGGGCAGACAGCTACCTTGTTAAGAGATATTTTAGGACACTACAATGTACTTTTTACTCCAAAGATCCAATTTCACCTGACTCATTATATCATGTAGAAACCATCTTCTTCAGATGCTTCTTTCATTTCTGAGACAGTAGGCTCCAAAGGCTGAGATTCTTTTCTCTGAATCTCTCAAGCAGACCAGACACTAAGGAAGTGTTTCTTGAACTTAACATCAGACCACTTTTTTCTACAAAAGACCTATATGTACTTTAATATTTATAAGTTCCCAAAAGTCTTTCTGGAGCAAAGTGGTGTTTCCTTCCTGATACTTGGTATAATCATGATGATATGAAGCCCCATTGAATGCAAACACAATTTGCAAGACAGAAGACCATAAAAAATGAAAAACATTCACAGGAAATGTGTTCCAGTTTTAAAAAGAAAACACTTGAGACAGAAACCTAGAACACATGATCATGAAGAACATATGTGAATTCCATTTAACTTTCATGAGAGACGAGCTGATCAAAGAACATGGGGAGGAAAGAGAGACTTGTTTTCCTTCTCCTCCCTCTCCCCCTAGAACAAAGGAAAAATTAATCTCCCCTGTCATGCAGTTTTGCTGCAGTTGGCTTGTAACAGCAAGGAGATTCTGAAAGCTTGCAGCTACTTCCAGCATCGCAACTATGCCACTTTCAGCAAACCTCTCCTGTATTTCCAGAAGATACGAGTTGGAGGGTGTCTGATATTTTATTACATCATAATCTCCAATTGTTAAAAGTTTGGCTGCACATACCTGGATAATACCTTTAATAAATTACCTTAATTAGAGAAGACTCATTCTTACTCAAAAGCTCAATTTCAAAGTAGCCTGAAACACTGTTAAGGTCCCATGGTACCGGTTTAATTGCATTGGCCATCTACCCAACTCCAAAGCCCCAAAAATAATAGCAGAAACAGGGGCATATTCCAAAAGCTATCAAAGAAGGCAAGCTTGCTTTGGATCTTTGGAACTTTAAGTAGGCAAGTATACATAATCACATATATAAGACTGCTCTGTAATACTTGCTATTTGTTATAAGTCACAATGCATAAACTTTAAAGAACTTTAAATCACACCAAAAGCTGTTATTTTAAATATCCAGAAACTTGCCTAAAGTCAGTGCTATTTAATAAACTGACTCCCAGTGCCATTTTTCTTTCTACTAAAGTACCCAGAGACAAGTCGAAACCAAAACCAACTACTGTTTCTAGACTTCTAAAAAACATCATCAACCTTTAAAAGGATACACCGTGGGGTTGAAGTTCTTCAATATGAAGAAGGAAGCAACAATGACCAAGACCAGGAACAGAGTGTTGTTATAGAAGATGGAAAATGTTGTAGCTTCATAGTCAGCAACTTCATTTTTCTTCCACAAGATTCTGGAGACAAGGAAACAAGTCAAACAAGTTTATAAATATGATTAAAAACTCTAAATACCACGCGGCTCTATTTCATTATAAGACAAATTTTTCCTTAAGTGTTCTAGGGTGAGAATGTGTTTTTAACATTAAATTTAGTCAGAATTTTCCCCTTTCCTCCACTGAAAAAAATATTTCACACTCATTATTGCTGAAGAAAACAGTCGCTGGTTATGTTATCATTTTTCCCAGGCAGCCAGGGCTATGGAGGAAGGGACTGATTAATTGCAGTTGGCATGGTTTCATCAGCAGTTCAAACAAGTTATCTTTCTCTGGACCTCATCTCTCTCATCTAAAACACAAACCTGATGGTCAACAGCCTGATGGGGCTTCCGTGGCTATACCCTGGGCTTGAGGCTCTCTGCAGCCTTCAGGCCCATCGCACCTTCAGCACACAATCCCTACTACAAGCACCAGCTGTGGTCTCACAGAAGCAGACTACTGTCAGTCATTTTTGTTTACTTCAAACAAAGAATGTGCTTGATCATTAGGAAGATTTCTTTCTAACATTTGCAAAATGCTTTTACTTTTTATTTATTTTTACTGGTTTTGATATTTTATCTTATTAATTTACTAATACTTCATGAATCTTTTCTTTTACGCCCTTCACACAGGCAAAGGGAAGTTCCAGGGTGCCTGTGAATAGGGATCCTTTATTCCTCCTGGTTAATTAACTTTGTAAAGTAGTTTTTGAAAGGGTAGGTTATGAGCCATTAGTGGGATGTGAACTCAATCGAGTGGATCGAATGCCCAGTGAAATTAACTGAGTGGGTTGAGACCAGCATTTTTTTCAAATGGAATAGGAAGGAACAGAAAAACATCAAGAGTATATTGCACACAGTAGGATAAATACTGTTTTGTGAAACATTTTCATGGGTGCATGTATATTTGGTCAAAAGATAAAATACATTTTTTACTGTGGGTCATTATCAAAAAGGTTGAAAGCCACTATTGTAGAGACTTTGTCCCCAAAAAAGATAACTCTACTCAAGAGCCAGATGACACTCCTCCTCAATCCTAAGGACAATATTATGACTAACGTTATTGGCGACTGACACATTTTATTCACCAAGTGTTCTAATCCAAAGTCAACAAGCTTGGCTGTAAAAGAGCTAAATAAGCTGTAATAAGCAATTTGAATTTGGGTAACTATGATACGCATCCCAGTTTAAGAAACTGTTCTAATAAATATAATTCAATAAAAAGTTTTTTTAAAGTAAGACAGATTCTCTAACCTATCCCTGTGCAAAAATATGCATCAGAAAGTTATGCAGCCAGACTTCATTAAAGTTGTTCCCTGCAAAAAAATCCTTTATTGTCATAATTTTAATACTGTGCCTTCAGTTTCATAAAGGATCCATAGGAGATAATCATTTCAATGTTCTAGTGCCTTTCCAAAACCACTGCAGAAGACATTGTTCATTAAGTTACTCAGTGTCCCTTAAATAAGGATCTACTTGATAAAGTCTTTCCAAGATTCTGTGTCAGGAAAGTTTCTTTTCAGAAGGACTTGCAC